TATTAGAAAGTGAGTAAGGATATTTCTCCTAGAAATAATAAAAACTTCAAAAGCATTCTTCCTTTTGTAACAACCTTAAAAAGTAACTTCAAAAAGCATGTAAACCACAATCTTATGAGAAAACATGGATTAAAAAAAAATAGAGGTGCTTAATTATCCTCAGTATTCTTTTATACATGAAGGGTTGGCTCAGTTTACTATAAAGCCTCCTTTGTTTCCTTGTTTACTGCTATATTTTTCCATACAGTCTGTATCAATACCACTATGTCTACACTACACCTCTGAAAAAGTGTAATTATATTCATGCTTAACTAAGACATTGGGGTTTCATAGAGGGCATTCAATTTCTACAATATAATGGCATTATCAAGACTTTTTTTAAAAAAGCTGAACAAGTAGTATGTTGTTATGTGTTGCTGAGTTAGAAATAACTCATAGATGACAGCCCAAGTTTTTAGAGGCAGCAAACTGCACTGGAGAAAACTGTCCATCTTTATTCTGCAAAGAAGTTGGTGGATCTGAACCATCTGCCTTTGGGTTAGCAATGCAGATCCTTGTGGCATATCTAAACAAACATTCCTTCAATCTATGCAGATGCTTTTAAAAATACAATGCACACTTTTCCAGAAAGTAAGAAGTAGAACTAGATGGAGGAAAATATTGTTATTACAACTTTCCTATAAAGACTAAATCAATTAAAGCATGAAGGAAATCTGATCTGAATTTAACAACATATAAAAGAGAACCAATTTACTGGGTCTGACTGCACATATTCTATGACCACAATATTTCAAAGAATGGAAGTTAAAAAGACAGAGTCCCTTTACCTTTTTTAAAAGGTGCTTTATTAGAATAAAAATTTCTAAGAAGCCAATTTAATCCTTAAATCTTCACCTTTCATATCAGACTACCATATTTCTTTTGTAAGTCTGAGTGGAGCAAACAGTCAAATTAATTTTCATACTCAGATTGCTTTTAATCTATTTTATACTTGATGTTCTATGGGGTATGTCTTGATATGCAGGGATGGAATTAATGTTTAAATTTTTTTAATTAAAGAAAGATTAAAGTTGTTTACATTAGCATTCAGTGCCATCCAGATTCTAGACTAGTGCTGACTGATGCACATCTTAATCAGTGCTACTATTTCTGTAGTCGTTCTTAAAATTATTTTTCATAGCAAATTTGTTTCTGGGGAGGTGTGAAAAATTAACAGACTCATTATTACCTTAGTTTATATATTCTCACACTAAACAAGTATTCAATACCACGTATAAGTAAGTCCATTTTCTAGGTAACAGAAACTTATTTCTGAGTATTAAATTTATAAAAAAAATCGCTTAAGGTTGTAAATAATTTTTAAAATTATCAGGCATTCTTATGCCTGCTTATATACATTATTTTTAATATTTTTAACCTTACTTTGATTCCTGAGGTTCAGCATACACTGAAACAAAAAAAAGCCACATCCCATAGAAACTACCTGAGGTTTATATTTTATGCTAACTGGAGTTGTGTCATCTGCATAATGAAGGTTATTGATGAATCTTCCTTCAATTCTGATGACATATTCTTCTTCAGAGAGTCCAGCTTCTCAAAAAATTAGCTCAGTGTTCAGATTGAATAGGTACGGAGAAAGGCTAAAACAGTGGTACAAACTTTACTTACTTCTAAACCATGTAGTATTTCCACGGTCTACTGACACAACAACTTGATAGTCTATGTGTAAGTTTCGCATGAAAAAAATTTAGTGTTCTGGGATTCCCACAAGTCTCAACGTTCACTGTTAATTTGTTATGATCAACACACTCAAATTCCTTTGCATAAAGCTCAGACATTCTTCTGGTAATCTTTGCTTTCAGCCAGGATATGGCCTTAAGCATCTGCTGCAGAACATCAAACACTGTAGCCTTCTTTATGGACTGCATCTCAACATCAAGACAACAAAAATTCTCACCACTGGACAACATCATGATAGATGAAGAAAAGACTAAAACAGTCAGCTACAATCAATACACTTGGTACCAGCAGTCAGGAGATCAGGAGACATATTGTACTGGGAAAGTCTGCAGTCAAGAATCTCTCCAAAATACTGAGGAGCAATGATACTAGTCTGAGGACTAAGGTACCCCTGAATCAGGCCATGGTCTTTTCAATCACTTTCTTTGCTGCTGAGAGCTGGAACATGAATAAAGACGATAGAAGAAGAATTGATGCCGTTGAACAGTGATGCTGTAGAATAGTACTGAATATTGCATGAACAAACAGATATGTCTTAGAGAAGGTCCACCAGAGTGCTCCCTGGAGGCAAACATGACAAAGCTTTGTCTCACATACTATGAGAATGTTGCTAGGAGAGGCTATTCCTTGGAGAAGGGTATCATGCTTAGAAATGTGGAGGGACAGCAAAGGAGAGGAAGACATTCAACTAGGTGGACTGACACAGCAAGTGCAGCAATAGGCTTAAGCGTGTCAGGGATTGTGAGGATGCCACAGGAAAGGACAGGGTTCTTATCTGTTGTTTGTAGGGTTGTTATAAACTGTACTTGACTCAACAGCACCTAGCAACAACAACAACTAGAGTTAGGTCGTACAAGTAGTTAATGTGCTTAGCTGCTAACCCAAAGGTTAGAGCTTTGAGACTACTCGTAGATGTCTCAGAAAAAAGTCCTGGTGATCTAACTCCAAAAAAGAAGCCACTTAAAATTCTATGAGCAAATGCAGATAGTAAGCTGCCTAATCAGCTAGTTTGGGATTCTGCCTTAAAAAACTGAACACTCAAGAACCTCTGCTACAGCAACAGTGGGGAACATACAGACCACAGCCTGTAGCCAGCACACCTTCTTGGCAACCTGCATGTCCTACTTTCAGTGTTTAATTTCACAGACAAATATGATGGGTAACAACATAAAATGGTGCTCAAACAGCGAGAGGAAGAAATTTTGCACAGGAATTTTGGGAGATGTTGTTTACTGCAGTTTTACTGATGTCTGGTCAAAACTGAACAAGCCTTTACAAACTGTGAAAGCTGCTAGTGAACTCTACTCTCCTTTATCAGGAGAAATAACAGAAATGAATGAAGCTCTTGCTATGAAGATGGTTGACTAACACCAACTAATCCTTCAGAATTTGATGAAAGTACCTTTTAACTTTTTAATGGGTACAGAGAAACATCTTTTTTACCAACAGTCTTGTCATTTTTAAATTACGATCAAGGTATATCTGTAATTTATTAATTTTTCTGTGATAAGAACAGTTACAAAATTATATAACTCAAGGGTAATACAGTTATTGTAAGAGAAACATAATGTGCCAATTCCTGATATCCATACACCCAGATTTGGGTTAGAACATCTAGTGATCTTTTCATTGGAAATGACTTAAAGAAGATTACTTCTTTGTTTTCTGCTGAAGAGCAATATTATCTTAATTGTGCAATATACGGACTTTGCTGGTGCTAATTTTATACAGTGAAGCAACAGTCTTTCAGCAAGAGAAACAGTTTAATAATAGAATATTCAATTTCTCTAGTTAAATATACCTGCTAAAAATAGGCAATGATTTTTTTTACATGAAAATTGTCTTCTAAGAGAACAATGCAGTGTCTTCTATACCCTATTATCCTGGCTTTTTCCCCAACAGTGGTATCAGAAACTTAAACTGGCAATGGGTTGAGGATGGGCTGCTGAAGATGTAAAGGTAAAAATGGTAATATGAAATGAAACAAACCTACTCTCTGACCAATTAATTACTACTTCTGTGACCTTACATCACTCTCTAAATCCTATGCATAAATTTCAACAATTCACTGCAATCAAGTTAGAACCCTCCATTGGGTTTCCAAGGCTGAAAGCCACACAGGAGACTACGCATCTTTCTCCTTCAAAGCCACTGGTGAATTTAAAGAGCTAGGGTGCATGACATTTGGGTTACCACAGCAACTCCCTATAAACTCAAATTCACAAGCAGCTCCACAGGAGAAAGATGGACAATCTTCTCCCTTGTGCCTTTACTGCTTCAGAAACCATAAGGTCCCAACTTGAGGACAATGGTTGAGTTGAACTAGTTATCAAGTAGGGACTATGTCAAGATCTTCTTCATAAGGATGCACTTCGAATAAAAGAATGATCGTACTCTCCATCCTGAAAACCATTCTACTAAAATGCTTTCAATGGTTCAATCTGAGGCTTACTATAAATGTGGTAGACAAGATTGGCTACATTTTGTGGTTTCAAGAGAAATCTGCAATTTTTAATATATTATCACTAAAGAAGCTGTTGTCTCAAGATCTGAAACACAGTTTACATCCTTCTCTAGCTATATATAAGCAAATAAAAATTTGGTGGGTTTTTTTTGGGGGGGTTCCTCTCTTGACTTTTAAAGCCAAACTGTCTGAGTAAGAGCCTTAAGCGATGGCATCTACCAGGATGAAAATGCACTTACTGGTAAATATATACAAACAGTTTTTTAAAAAAAAGTATATTCATAATCCAAGATATGAGTTTTCTCCAATAGATGGCTTCTATTAAAAGTAATCTTAAAAGTCTGTCAGAAGCAGAAAACACCTATTTCCATGTACCCTAGACAATATCTGCACTATGAGTCTTAAAACCTAATCAAACTAGTATTTTTCTTCACATGGGGAAAAAGGTCTATCAAAGGTTCCCAAACATCCCCAGTTCACAGTAATGTTAGCATATTTTTCCCCAAGGCTTGTTAATGCCCAAAGAAACAGCTAATGAGTTCTTACAGCACAAAGGTTATGCACATGATTCTTATAAAAAAGGTCAACAGCTTAAATCCATCATCAGCTACATAAAAGAAAAAACTTGATGATCTGATCCCATAAAGGCTACAGCCTGTATTTTTCACCAACACCACATTTCAAAGGCATTAAGTCTTCTTCAGTCTTCCAGGAAGATATGCCTCACTGGTTGATAAAATTAAATTCTGAAGTATATATATGTACAGCTTTTAAAAGATATTAAAGGAAAACTTACCTAAATCAAAATCATACATACAGTAGGTCATCAAAATGTCATGAAGTAAAATCAACCCTGGATTATCTTGGCCTTCATAAAACTTATTTGTTCGATCTGTTCTGTTAACATCTTTTTCTAAAAAGAAAAAAAAATCACATATTTAAAAACCTTTCAAAAAATATTTTTATAAAGCTCACATCTTATAGAGGTTTATTTCTCTTGCTATTAATTTTTACTCCCTGACAAGCTTTACTTAATGGGGGGGGGGGGCGAAATTCAACAAATTCCTTTTCAGATATGCAATATATATAATGTTCTGGAGTATTTTCTTAAAAACTATTTCAATTCCTAATCGAATGGTTTTTAAAAATTTTACAAGTTTTACTACAATCATCTACTTGAAAGGCAGAAAACATTTCACGAATTAACTTAAACTCAAATCCAATACCATCAAATAAATTAATTCTGGTTTGGTTCTCTAGTAGAAATGCCTCACGAGAATTCCAAGGCAGCCACTTCCTTCTCCTGTGGTGTAGCTGTTGGGTTCAACCTACCAATGCTTTTGTTAGAAGTAGAATGCTTTAACTAGTACCACCAGAGCTCCACTAATAACAATTCATGTAGCAATAAAAATGCCAGTCACAAATGTGATAGGCAATGTTACTTAAAAATAAAATAAAAATAGCTACTATGCAATTAAGCACATCAAAAAGGTTTATATCATTCATAAATGCTTCATTCACTGTAAAAAGTATTATTAACTTCTTAACTTCTTTGTTATGTTTCATCATCATCTTTAAGAGAAATTACCTTATTATTCTCATGTATAAATCATTCAGTTTAAATATTACAGAAATGTATTTTCATTCTGAAAAACAGACATCTACACTTTGCTTGGAAGCCTGTTTCATATTATTAAAAACAGATGTGAAAATATCATCATGAGTATTTCCAAATGTGTTTCAATAAATGAACTCCTCAACACTCGTTCTATTAGAGTCTCATATTTGGTTTAGACTTTCACAGAGTCTTGCTATGAAAGTGTTTCCAACCAGAAAGCGGTTCACCAAAGTTGGTTTCCTTAGTATAGTGGCAAGAAAAAACTTAAACTCAAAATACAGTCTATTACCAATATGTCCATTGCTTAAACCATATAATTTCCCCATCTCTTGTTAATGACATAATTTTAAAATATTCACAAAAACAGCTAAAAGGAAGATAGCATGATAAATTTAGATTCTGTAAGGGTATAATATATGTCTGTTTTAGATCAGTACTCTTATTTTCTTTTGTTTATGATGTTGTTGTTAAGTGTCACTGAATCATAGATGACTCATAGTAACCCTATGAACAAAAGACTTGAACACTTGTACAACTTTCATCATTTCTCCAAGTTCACTGGGTTTCCAGAGGCAAGCTATTTCAGAAGTGGATGCCACTCCTGCTTTCAAGCTTGTTTTAATAGGGGAGCTCCACCAAACACTGTCGACCATGGGTAACCATTATCGCATTTGACACATCAGTGTCACAGCATCCAGCATCACAGCAACCACAAGTTACCTCTGTACAGCAAATGAACAGACCAATGCTATACAACTTAGATGTTTTTGTTTATTATGTACTACATTAAAGTTAATAAAAATAAGCATGTATGTATAAAACTATGAAATTTTAAAATACAAAAACACATACCAAATAAATCACACTATAAATGTAAAATTTCTGTTAAAAGTGTCAAAATGTTCCAATTATATTCAATAGTTGATAAAAGGCTCCATAATTTTTTTAAACTCATACACAATTCATGAGTTTACACAATGAGCTCAAGAGGTATCTTAAACATGGCAAAAAGTTATTAATACCTTAATAAATTAGCAGCATTGCTTTCCTCTCAGGACTATTTAGTAATGCCAAACCAAGCAGAAAACAAAAAGGATAAAAATAGATAAGAATGAGCGAAGTATTATCAAGAATAGAATTATTGGCGGTACTAACAGTTAAGCATTTGAATACTGTGCAAAAGATTCGTGTTTTGAACACACGCTTAAGAGCCTAAAAATGAAGTCCTGGTGATCACCTTCCAAAAGATGGTAATCTTGAAATCCCCATCAATTGTATTCTGGAAAATATGGGATCATCAGATCTAATCAAGTCAACAGACACTAACACATGAAAAGAACTACTTCTCTAAAGAAACTATATGTACTTAGAAAAGAATGCCTTCGTGGTAACACAACTCCCCATCTGACCTACTATAGCTAAAAGTAGCAAGAAAAACACTGTCATATGAACTGATCCCAACTTAAAATTGTCTCGCTAACCTCAAGTGGCTTCTTTACAGTGCTTGGCAATCATACTCTATCTCACACCTCTATTCCTCTGTCTTACATTGTCTTTTTCTTCAAATCTCCTATTCATAGCTCTCAAAAGAGGATTGATTCCACTTTCACGGGGGGTGGGGGATGACAGTCATCTAAAGAGAATTTCCACTCCAATCACATAAATATCTCCAATTATGTTTCCCATCTCTTTATCACTATAAGTGAGTTTTCATGATTTTTACTGAGACAAATTCTCTCTCGTATGTGGAAACGTCCCTACTTGCCAAGCAGTGCTTTGCCCTATTGTCTCTTGTATCTTTCTGCAGTTTTACCAACTTTTCACCTCTACTGGGACATTCCCATCAAGACTCAACCATACTGGTTTTTCTCACAATAGAAACTTCTCTTAATCTCCTGTTGTCCTCTAATTACAAACTCTTCCCATTCCCTCTCGAATTTAGTTCAGTAAGTCTGTCACACCTATCACTCAACCAAAGCTCATTTGCATAAAAAAATCCAGTGATTTACTATGTTGTGCAATGATAAATTCAAGTCTTCATCCTACAGCAACTCAGCAACATCGGATCCAATCTCTCCTTGAAATGCTTTCTTCATTTAGCTTCTAGCATTTTTCTTCATTTGACAGTACACTGGCATATTTTCCCTCCTTTCCTCTATATGCTCATTCTAGTCTTTGTTAGCGTTTTTAATTTTTCAAACTTACAAGGTAAAGTGTCTCCAGGATTAGTTCTTATCTCCTCTTCCCTAAATCTATGCACTCCAAGACGACTTTCATCTACTTTCTATAATTTAATTAGTCTCATAATTATCTATAGGCCAGTAATAACCTTATATCCCTTTCCTGCATTAATGTCTTATTCTATGTATTTCTACATATTCCACATATTTGTCACCAACATCCAAGAGGCATCTCAGATTTAACACATCCAAAACCAAAGCCCAAATATTCTCTTCCAAATTTGCTTTCTCTCATAATCTTTTCCCTCCTGTTGTTCAACTCAACTCATTGCCAGCAGGTCAGAAACTCATAGCTGACCTTCCAGCAGGTTTTCTGAGACTATAAATCACATGAGAAAAAACTGCTGATCTTTCTCCCATGGAACAGATGGTAGGTTCAAACTACTTGCCTTCGGACTGGCAGCACAATTTCTTACCCGCCAAGCAACTACAGCTCCCACCAGAGCTGTAGTTAGGTGCTATCAAATTCCTTCCAACTCACAGATACGTGATGTACAACGAAACAAAATATTGTCCTGTCCTGCTCACAAGCTTTTGCTGTTTGAATTTATCATTGAAGCCTGAGTATCACCGAGTATCAATCCACCAATAGTCTTCCTCTTTTTTTACTGTTTTCCTAGTATGCTGTCTTCTCTAAGAACTGGTCCCTTCTGACAATATAACCAAACTATGTGACATGAAATATCATATTTTGTATGTTATAAATATTGTCCTTGCTTTTAAGGAGTATTCTAACTTTATTTCTTCTAAGATAAATTTGTCCAGTCCTGTGGTAGTCCACGGTATATCCAATATTCTTCACTAATACCAGAATTTAACAGCATTGATTCTTTGGTCTTCCTTATTTATTATCCTGATTTCATATTTAAGATGTGAACAAAAGCATCATATAGCTTGAGGCAAGAACACCTTAGTCCTCAAAGTGACATCTTTGCTTTTGAACATCTGAAAGATGTTTGTTGGTTTTGTTTATTTTCAGCAGATATGCCCAACATACTACAGCATTTGGTTTTGTGCTTGCAGTTGTTATAAAGTTAATAAAGTTCCAAGTACAGGGAAATCTTTGACAACTTCAGTATTTCCTCCATTTTTTGTGTTATTTTCCAATTATGAAGATTTCTGTTTCTTGATGGTACGATATAATTCAAAATGAAGGCTATAATCTTTGGTCTTCATAAGTACTTCCAGTCTTCTTTCAGCAACAAAGTTGTATCACCTCTACATTGTAAATTTTTAAGAATTATTTATCTAATCAGGATGTTGCATTCTTCTTCAGATTACTTACACACTTCTCCTGATTTTAAGCCACACAATAGCCCCTTATTCTAGTCAAATGACTAGTGTTCTAGACTTTCCATTCTTCACAACATTATCCACAATATGCTTTGACCGGCACAGTCAAATGCCATTGCACAGTCAGTAAGACATTAAGTAAACATCTTTCTGTTATCTTCAATTAGATAGCCATCTTACATCAACAATGATATCCCTTATTTTTGGTCACTTCTGAATCCAAGTTTAATTTCCAGCAGTTTTCTATGAATGAATTACAGCCAAGTAGCAACTCTACAAGTTCCTCAATCTAAACGTAGTGGAGTCATCCTTAAATCTTTCTTCTCTCATGTGACACTGATTCATCAGTTAATCCTCCAAAACACAAGTCAAAAATAACAATATTGCACATTAACTCACTTCCCCTCCAATTCGGACTCACTCACTCAAGGACACCAGCCTCCTTGCTTGTCATAGAGCACACAGAGGTCTTGAGACAGTAACAATCCTACAGGATTCTGCTCTCATCTGCCCAGAATGTCCTTACCCAAAAGCTGAATGACACACTTGCTCCATTTCTTCAAGTCTCAACTCAAATATTAGCCACTCAATCTTTACTCCTGGGTCAAGCAGTCATCACCTCTCACCTGAACTGTCACAATAACCTTGGTCTATTTCCAGCCTTGTTCCCCCTACAGCTATTCTCCAGACAGCATCCAGAATGATCTAGTTAAAACCTAACTCCAATCACATCATTGTTTTTTTTTTCTCAAAATGCCCCAA